CTCAGCACTCTGTAGGGAAACCTCCGCCCCCACCACACAATCTCCCACCCACACAGAACAATAAATCAGAACCAGCCATGCAGACTAGCAGAGTCCCCGAGAGCAGAGCCCTCTGCAGGCCTTAGGACTTCCTGTCTATCCTCCTGTCCCCTAAGAGATATCTCTAAAACCTAAATCAGGAAGAATAACACACTGTTGTAATAAAACTCTTCTTCCACAAATCCATTTACCTGTGGGACCTCGGGCATCTGAAACCAGAGTTTGACCTGTTTCCTGGAGGATGGGCTTTATTAGCGAGCCTTAAAGAATGCTTAGGTGCCTGACGACCACCATCGTGAGGAAGTGGTCCTTCCCCAGCCGACAAATGAGCTGCTTTCTGTCCTCATAGATTGGTTTGCATTCTCCAAAATTTCATGTAAACAGAAATCGCACAGTATATACTTTTTTTGTCTGTCTTCTTCCACTCAGCATAATTATCATTAGATTCATCCATAGTGTCGGATGCATCAATAAGAGCCTATTTCTTTTTACTGCTGAATAGCAATCCACTGTAATAGATACACCGCAATTTGTCTGCTCATTCACCTGCCGAGGCACGTTTGAATTGTTCCCCAGGTTTTGTCTGTTACGAATACAGCTGATATGCATACCCATGAGTGAGTCTTTAAACACACATGTGCTTTTATTACATATTTTATAATCAAAATACATGTTTTGCAAATATTTTCTCCCAGCATGACTTGCCTTTTTATTTTTGTTAAAGTGTCTTTAGAAGACCAGTGATGAAATCCAATTGTCTCCCTTTTTATTTTTTTTTTTGCATTTATAGTTCACATTTTTGTGTTCTGCTGAAGAAATCTTTGTCAAACCCAAGGTCACCATGCTTATGTTTTCTTCTAAAAGTTTTATATCTTAGCATAAAGATAGGGTCTATGACCTATTTCAAGTTAATTTTTTGTATAGTCTGTTATATAATTAAAATGTATATCTATAAAAAGTTTATAGTATCACAAAAATACTCATTTATAAATATTAATTGAAGAGGGCCCAATACAAATTTTTATATAGAGCATAGGCAGCACTTGATAATCAAGTTTTGACAAAAACAAACCAAGGGACAAAACTCAGGACTAAAAGAATACAAGAAAACATCCTACAATATTTTAATTACTATCTTTAGATAATATGACCACCAACTACCACTATAACAAAAATAAATTGGAGTATTAAAAAAAAAAACACTGAAGAGAAGTGACCCTTTCTGACTCCAGGCTGCCTTCACACTGCTCTGCGGTGCACAGATGGCCCTTTGGAGAACCTGAAAGGTGAAACTATACCAAGCACATCCCCCCTCTCAACCCCACTCAATATTGCTTTAGAGTAGGAAAAGGTGAATTTCCAAAGAGAATTCTCCAAAGACAATGGGAGTTTAGCTGAAGGTTCCAAATGAAACCAAACACAAACAGCACCCTGATCGAGGAGAAGAAGCCCAGCACGGAGGGCCGGCCACCCTGCTCAGCCCCCACTGAAACTGCCAGCCCTGACACGCCGCAGGCACAGATGTATGTGTCAAATGGCCTCTCCATCCACTCGATCTTCACAGGCAAAGAAAGCTAATGAAATTCTTCCGCTCATGTGCTCACTGTCCTTCTGTCTTGATCTGCTTGCAAAGACAGCGTAAGCCTGGAGCCTGGTGATCAGCCCAAGGCTAGCCTCGCTGCCTCCCGTCTGTGCGTGCTGCTGACTGTCTGGCAGGCAGGACTTGCCTCTCGAGCTGCCGCAGAGGCCAGCTTGGCTGGTGGCACTGCTTACAGATGTTGCACAGAGAGGAAGATTACTTCCCTGACTGATGAATAAATAGAGTTGTCAACATGGTCTCCCTGGTCAGGGGGGACCCCTGAAGTATATGTGGAAGGACAGATGTTTCATCTGGGAAGGCGTCCAAGGCCCGTGCAAGATGCGTGCACTCGGCTGATACTGTGGGCTGAGGCGTTCAGCCTCAAGAGGGAGGGGAGGAAGGCTGGGTCCACAAGCACGGCCGACACACTGCAGGGCCTCCCTGGGCCGGGCCTCCTCCCAGACCCTGGTAAGGGAGTGGGCACGCCGCCTCAGCCAAAGCCTCCTCATTGGGCCATTTTTCCAATGAATGAATGGGACCTGTTATCAGAAATACAGTCGTCTTCTTACTCCTAATACCCCATGGATCACAAAGCGAGCAGCAGAAATGACCCTGCAACCCTCATGCTAAACCTCAGAGGCTTCCCCCCACAGGAACCGAAAAGGCAAGCACTGTCAGACGGGGAAGGGGCCACGGCACCTGCGGGGAGTGACCTTCACTCAGGAGCACGCAACTTTGGGGATTTCTGGCTGACCTTCCAGAATGACGCAGATAAAACTACTATCATCAAAATTGTTTTAGTAACTGTAAGAACAACTATCATATTTAATACTAGACTGCATAACTTCGCACACCATCATCTTACTGAACTCTCACCCAAACATTCACAAAAAATACCCTATGCAAGGATTCATAAAAGGTACTACCCATAAACCCTCTGTGTGAGAATTACTAGAGGATGCATTCTAGTGCATGGAAAAGAGGAATGGGACAAGCGCTGTCATTAAACCTATTTAACGTATGGGGAAGCACAAGTCAGAAAGATAAAGTAACTTGGCAAGGTCCCTTGGAGATAGCAAACAGTCAACCCAGATTGGTCACATTTCCAAATCCCTGCTCTTCGCCACTACAATTTTGTGGTCACCAGGAGACGTAGGAGATGACGATTACATTTTCAACATAAGCAAAAAAGTGTTAGTGCTTCCAACACAGAAACGTGGCATGCCCAGAAAAACCCCATTTACACCTGGATATGCCTGAATATCAATGAGGTTGCTGCCTCCGTCTCAAACATATTTGAGTTTAAAACTAAAAATCTTTTGTCGGCACATCCAGAAATTCTAGGAGGAAACATGCAATGGACTCTCCATCTTACACACACACACAACCAGGCAGCTGAATAACACAGAGCACCGGCCCGAACGGTACTGGGTATTTGCAACATAAGAAGCCACATCTTCTCTCCGTCAGAGAAGGAAGAAGAAATCACTGGTGGCAGGAGAATCTAGGCTAGTTTTCTCAGAGGACGTATACCTTTAAAGAAACTTCAAAACAAACAAAGAAAATATGTTTTTTTACAGCCCGCTTTCCGGTGAACTTGGTTTTCCTTGAGGGTGGGAATAGGGTCTCTTGTTTAACTCTGCAGCCTTAGCTCCTAACGCAAGCCTGGCGCATGGCATTTAACACCTTTGTGTTGGATGACAATGAATACATGGGTGGACGGGAATAGAAGGAAGAGGTCAACATAACGCGGGGGTGAAGAACAGAAGCTTTGGAGCCAGACAGTCCTGCGTTTGCACCATGGTTGCAGCTTCCTCGATACAGGAGCAAATTACTAATGCCTCTCTCTGCCTCAGTTCCCTCATTTGTAAAGTGCAGACAAAATAAATACCAACTTTACAAAATGGCTGGAAGAATTCAAGGATGTGGGTGCCGAGCACGATGCTGAGGGTTCCAGGAACAGGATCTAGCTTTACTACCAGGAACAACACTTCAGTCCGGGGAAGAGCAAAGCACATTAGAAGACTTGCATCTTGGTCTTACAGAGACACAGGCTGATTATTTTAAAATGGCATGGACAGTGATCCACAGCAAGACGACCCTGAAGGCTTGGTCTGTAGCTGCCAGGGCCATGCTTAAAGAAGTCAGGTGGTGGGGGGGGGCTCTGAACTGTCACCCCATGCTGGGAGCTCAGTTTACCTGCCAGACTGTGATTCAGAGGGTGGCACATTCAGAGGACACCACTTCAGAGACTGAGGGAAATTAAGACACATCCCAAGGGAAGCCAAGGGGACCAGCACTGCTTAGACGTCAAGAACTAAGGGATGGGACAGGACCTATTCTGCAGGGTTCCGGGAGGTCAAAATGGAGCTAATAAAGCAAATGTTCCAGGGAGGCACATTTCAGTGGAAATCAAGTCTCAGAAAGGCTGCTTTACCTGCCTAAGGTCATGGTGTGGTGCAGGGGAATGGCACAGCAAGTTGCCAAATCCAGAACTGGGCATGTGTAACTCCCAAGCTTTGATCACACAGGGGAAAGGCGGAACACGCACTGAAATCACCTTCCTCCCGCCCCCACCCTGCCCAACTCCCTTCGTAAAGAGAGCCTGTCTGCCTGTGTGTGTGCGTCTGTTTTCATGCTTGGAGTATTTTTGCGGGACTAAAGCAGAAGCAGCCTGAACTCCAAAGCTCTTGCCATCATTTGTAAAAGCCTAAACCCACTGGATGGGTAACGCTGGGTGTGGAGTTGGGGCAGGGTAAGAGGCAAGGGATCTAAAGACCCTGGGGAAGAGGGGGACACTTCCCTCTGGGCTGGGGAAAAGGGGGTATCGGGTATTGCACCCTGAGGAGACAGCAAGACATGTTCCCAGGTGGAATGGTGGTGTGATGGTCCTGAGAAGGCGGGACCCGAAAACCAGGGCTGGCAAAGATGCCACATCCCATAGCGGCACAGAAGCAGAGAACCCTCAGACCTCAAGGGACCTCAAAGAATCAGCACAGCGAGGCTATCGGTGCAACCAGGAGACTAAAGCTCTGGCCCCTGCTTTCTTAGCTGTACATTTCCTGGATCCTGACATCGCTCTGGGAGGAGGAAAGGTCCCAATAATGACTAAGAGGGATTTTCCACTCATCTGCTCAGATGAGGGCTCAGAGTCTAAATGAAGTAGATTTAAAGGAAATAAATGTTGCCATTCTTTGTAAACCTGTGTTTGAGAAATGAGATTCATACCATAGCAGAAGTACAGGTACCAAACGCTGTACAAAATGGCGACACAAATGCTATACTCTCCCCTCCCCGTGTCCCCAGTCAGAGACGGGGCCTGTGCCAATCTGCCAGCCGCAGAACACCCCCCGGCCTCCAGCCACCTCCCTTCCCACCTCACCTGGGGAGCAGGTGCTTGCGGCTGACACACAGGGCAGTCTGGTAGTCCTGGGTCACACACACTTTGTGAGGGCTGCACTTCACCTTCAGGCAGGGGTCCTTGGATGGGTCCAGGGCTGAGGCAAAAAGAACAAGAAGGGAGTTGTTAGAACCTCCAGGGAAATTTAATTTCTATTTCTATTCAAATAAACCAACTCTGTGTTTGCACTCTGCGTTGTTTCCTGAGGCGGGTGGAGACTGGAATGAAAACCCAAGCCAAGGGGAATGCGTGTCTATCACACACGTCCCTCCACACCAGGAGAGCGAGTCCCGTGTGCTGAGGGAGTCACGGCGTCTCCATCTGGGGCAGGAATTACTTTAAAAAATCCTTTAGAATCTTACGTGATCCAAGGATCAAGAGCTATTTTTCTCTCTTTGATTATTTATCTGGTGTGGCTTTTTTTATGAGTTCATCCATGCCTAATTTTACCTAAATCCCATAAAAAGTCCTTGAGGACAAAGAGTTTTGCTTCGATTCAATCAACACGGACTAGGCGTGTAAATAACCTATCTGAAGTTTTGCAGAACTTGAGGACGTGTATGACAGTTTTGTGCCACACAGAGGCACGATGTAACAGGGCGGGGGAAGCTCGCACATAAATATTTATTGTGTGAGGGAGAATTAGATAAGGACCATGACGGGCATATAAAATGATAACAGAGCTCAAGAGAAAAATAGAGATCAATTTCCAGGGCAAAGATTAGTGAAGCATTAATATGTGAATTGGATCTTGAAGGATGGGCAGGATTTTGAAAAGCGAAGACAGAAAAAGCAAGCCAGGCAGGGCGCCCAGCACAGCAAGTGCAGGGAGGCATGTTCGGGCGATCACGAGATATTCAATCTGACTATTAAGTGTGGTTTCTGGGTGGCAATAACGAGAGGAGGGGAAGTTGATTCAAACAAGTAACTCCAGAAAGGGTCTCCAAAGACAGCAGTTCATACAGGGCAACATTTTCTAGAATAGGCTGAGCAGCAGGCCCTTGGCTAATCAGCGCGCTGCATGCTGAGGTGCACATGCTCATCACTGGCACAGAAGAGGCCTCAGGGAATTCTGCACAAAACAAAAGCAATTGTGCCATCTCCCAGCTCCGGGGCCTAAAGCCCATTAGGCAGTAAATCTTTCATAACTGCTTTCCACAGTCAGGGGAGGTGATATCGCCTCATGTCCTCCCCATGCAGACATTTGGTTAAACAAATTGGCATCCCGAGCAGGTACGGCAAAACTGCTACAGGAAATGTCATGGTCAAACAAACAAAACAAAAAAGAAATGCCACGGTGCCCTCGACCGGGGGGCTCTCAGCCATCGTGACTCCCCAGCACATACAGGAAGTCGCAATGCCCCTCGTCCCGCCCAGAATCGGAGCACCATTTTCTTCAGATGGCTGCCGAGAATTTCTCAAGGGTCCTGAACACACAACATCTAAAGGCATTTCTGCTGCTTGAACAGCTCAGGGTGGCACCTCCACTGCAGCGGCTTCAGCGGCTGTAAACAGAAACCAGGGCGCATTCCCAGGCCAAGTAGGACAGCAACAAGATTCAGGTCCTGGTCCTGGGGGGACACCTGGAGCCTCACAGAGGGAAACAGGCTGCAAGATGAAAGAGAGGCTGATTCCAGTCCCAGGGACAGGGGACTCTTAGCTCTGAAGCTGAGGGCTGCCTCTGAGAGGCAAGTGGCCGGTGGCCCTGCGTCTGTCCTCAGAGTCCTCTGAGGCTGGGCCTTCCAGAAACGTGCAGCAAGAGCTTCCCGGTCCCAAGTGGAACTCTGTTCCTGGGGACGTCTGCGTGAGAAGCCAGGAGGCTGTGTGGTCTCAGGCCAGTGGCCTTCTCCTGTGCATGCCCCCAAACCCCTGCCAACCCCGGGACTGCAGCACAGCCAACTTTGACTTGCTTCCCAAGAGGCACGCGAAATTGAGTCAACAAATACGAACGATTACCAGGTGACCATGTCAGTCCTTTGTTGCCCCTTCTCATGCTTCCACACACCACCACGGGATGAAGACACTTACAGATCTCACAAAACTTGGGGACCAGACCACTGGCAGCCCCAGCCACTGTGACCAGCTGAGGCATTTTCCCCAATAGCTGCCAAGTGCTGCAGCAGAGAACTTGGGATTTTCCCTTGAGTGGATCTCAGAGATGGAGACTAGCAGGCTGGCCTAGGGTGACAGGTGTTGAAATCTGCAGGACTACACCACAAGCTTTATGGCAGAATTTGAGCTGCTTTTTGCTTCTGGCCTGAATGGCTAGTGGAACGTGAATCAGCTGAGCACAGCAGGGAAGAGCACAGACTCTAGGGCTGGAGCTTCCAGGACTGAATCCTGGCTCTGCTGCTTACTAACCCTTTGTATGCCTCAGTTTCCTCATCTGTAAAAATGGGGATAATAACAGTGTCTATTACTGCTTGCTGGTTGTCACGAGCATTAAATGTGTTAGTATCTGTAAGTGCTTAGGACAGAGCTGGTACATGTTAAGCACCTTGTAGGTGTTTGTTAAGGTTTTTGTGCTCGTCCTTTGTTCCAGAGTGAATAACAAGTCCTCATATTAACAACAGTATCACTCACTGGTGCTTCTGAGGGACGGGCAGTGAACTGAGCCCTCTGATCACCACGTTTGATCTTCACAACTACCCAAGGAGGCAGCTGCTGTTAATGTGCCCGTTTTACAAATAAAGGTCCCAAAAAGAAATTGCTGATGAGAGATGCAGAGAGCATTTGCACACCTGGTCTGTTGACTCTAGAACCCAACCTCCTCACCGCTGTGTGTATGCCACGAACCTGAGCATCACCTAGGAGCCTCTTTAAGAAGTTGACTGATGGCACCATATTCTTGAGAAGGCTTCGGGGCAGAATGAGGCTTCCTGGGTCAAAGCAAGGGGTGGCCAGGAGCCCAGTGCTGCAGAGGCTGTGCCTCCATACCCTCTCGGTGTGTCCCAAAGGCCTGGGTCACCAGCCGCAACACTCAGCCAGGGGGTGGGGCACCCAGCCCTGGACACCTGAGCCCTATGCCGACTCCTCTGAATGAAGCAACCCCCCTGCTGAGTCAACTGAAGCATGCTCAGGTCAATTTTGTTTCTGCAATCTTGCCATCTGTCATCCTACCATTAAGCTAACTGCAATAGCTCGTCCCTCCAATTCTGGAAGCTACCATTTCTTTAAAAACACCAACAAAAAAGAAAACCTCCAACCAAAAATACTAATAAATAAAAATCGTCAGTTATTCAACTCTGTACACATACTTAACGATCTGAATACAGAAATCAAGTCTGCTAAAAATCAATTACTAGGGTTTGAATACTTCAAACACGTATGCGAATTATTTAGAGTAAATGAACTTCACACAACAACAAAACAGTAACAAATCAAGCTGTCAGCATTTGTTTAATCACCTCAACACATTTTGTTTCTGAAAAATAGCAACACTGGGATCGAAAGGGGATGAGGGGTGTGTCATTTCCGTTAAATGCAGGCCTCCCAAATATGCCCTTCCCAGCAGCCGCACGGCTGCGATACTCCTGAAAGGCACCCAGCACCTGTCCTGGCCAGGGCTGTGTGGCTCCACTTCCTGAAGGGAAGGATAAGAGATCAGAATAATAAGTGACATTTGAGAGGCCTTTTAATAAGGTGGGGAAACTGCACCGGAAGGGAAGGTAGGGAGAGAGCCGAGTGTGCGAGCCCTGAGCAGGGTTCCAGGCTCCCCGGCGGTGGTGCTAATGGTATCTTGGGGGCTGAGCTCCCAGTTTCAGTCTCTCTCTGCACATGCCTGGGGACAGGACGCAGCAACCCCCAGAAGACAGCAAAGCCCCGTGTCTCCTCCACCTCTTCGATCACAATACGTGCAGGACTCATGTGGCCCTAACCAGGATCATGTGCCCAGCACAGAGCGGGTCCCACCACCCAACAAAAGTTAATTTCATCTTTCCTGCCCATACCCAGAAACCAACCGAGGATCAACTGGCCAATGGCTCATGTCCAGTTGTTTTTTCAAAATAATTTGTACAAAAACTTTTCTCAAAGAAAAAAATAATGAATTAATTTAAAGAGAGATTTGAGCTGAAAAGCCAGTTAATTATTAGCTCAATGTAAGGTTTTGTTAATTAATTTTACTTTTTTTAAGCTCACAGCTTGATCTCAAGTAAGGTGGTGATATTTTAATCATCTTAATTGTTTCTGAACTTGTTTTTCAGTTCAACGAGTTATTTTTTAATTAGCTACATTGATTTTCAAATCCTAAATCAAGACTTTTCCCTCTCCTTGGGCACATCCTATAGGCTAATTGGCAAAAGGTCATGGCACCTGGAATGCCAGAGCTTGACACCACCCCAGAGATGCTTAGATGAGGAGGTGGTTCCATTTTGTGGGCTAGACCAAAGGTCCCTTAATGTCACTTAAGAAAAATCACACATGCTTGTGTTTATTCACTTAACATTTGCAGAGCATCGTTCTGTGTAAGGCATCTTTTTGCAGGCTGCAGGCCAGCACCTCTGTAGCAAAAAGATGTCATTTCGGCTCTCCAGGAGCTCACACTTGAACAGGGGAGACAGGCAATAGGAGACGTCTATGGAGACAGGTGAGGTACCGAATTCAGCCTTTCAGAGGGACAGGTGAAACGTCCTGGACAAACTGACATCCACGAAAAAGCAGGTTTAAACCAGGTAATAGGATGTGGAAGAGCATTCCAGGGAAAAGCTCTCTCTCTTTCCAGGGGTTAAGATTTGGGGGAAGCAAAGTGTTTCACTGGGCTGGCAGCAGGATGGAGCAGGGGTGGTATGTGATAAAGCTGGGGAGGGGGCTCGCATGGTCACAGATGGCCTAGAAACCACAGGGACAACTCTGGTCTTCATGTTCCATAGTGACTTCAGTCAAACGTGGTACAACCTGGTGACCTTTGACACACCCTCCCATTCCAAAGGTGGAGGAATGCAGCAGGAAGAGGGAACCCTGTATGTGCATTTTGTGTAGAAAGTGGCACTTTGCTAAGGACAGGCTGCGCACTCTCATCCCGCGAATGACAGGAAACGTCAGGGATTGAGGGCCCAGTGGTCAACTCTTAGAACCCCCTTCCTCCTTCCAGGAACC